ATTTTGCTATTAAACAAGTAAGCTTATTTTCCTTTATATCTCTTTGATAAATTTATTATTAATTTTATTAGTCTCAAGATATGTAACTACACTATTTTTCAAATGAGTTTATTAGCCTAATATTCAAAAAACTTAAGGAAATGACTGTCTGTTCAATAGAAACTATGTACAAGTATTTTATTTCGATTACGTTGCAAATGGTTTTGAAGTATAAGGCATGGAATTAAACAAATATTTCTTTAAATACTTAAAATTGTTAAAAACAATCAAAAAAATATTCACATTTTGCGCAGTTTTGTGGTCATTTCTATTATTAGAATCAAAGTCACAGATATTAAATTATACTACTATTATGGCATGAACAACTGGACCTGATCTGCAAATGAGGGGCCCGAGGAGCAGAACTGTCAGAGGCCTTGTGGTCATTACTTAAAACTAAATTTACCCGTTGTTTGATAATTTATCCGTTGATTGATTATGAAGTGTTTTTAAATTATTTATGACGCAAATTAATTGTGATGTATTAGTAAATTTGAGCCTGTATTTATTTCAATATTTGTTAACTTATAACTAACTCTAATAGACAATTCTTAAGGAAAAACACAAAATAAGAATAAATAAATATAAAATTGTAATATTTAGGAGTCTTAGGCTTGGGCCTCTCAAGCCTTGTAATAAATCAGGGACTAATGGCTATGCAGGGGTCTGACTTTTAAGGACGAAATTAAAATACAAAATTACAATAGTTCTCTATAATAATAAGAAAAAAAAAGTTTTTATATTTGCAAAAACATTAATTATTTTTATTTTTCTTGTTTTTAACTGATGAATTTAAATCAATTGGAACATAAATATTGTCTGAAATACTGAAGAGGATATATACCTGCCCCCCTTCTTGCGCAACGCCGGCGTTGAATTTCGTAAATCTTTAGAAGGAGAAAATAAAACGAAGGCACGTGTGAGAATCGAAATCTGTCGCTAAACTCCTGCAAACGCCAGTGAATCAATATACGCTATCTCTCTCCCTGCATGCAGTGACGTCATTTTCGGCCAATAGCGTTGTCCGGCGCATTTAGTATTTAAACGCTCGTCTTTATTTACATTGCACTAGAGCTGTACGATTGTCACTGATAAGTATTATGCTTTTTTGGATAAAATATTTAATGAGATGAAGCTTAATGAACATTAATTTTATTTTTTCTCCTTAAAAATTTTTGTTAACTGTTAAATTTGTATATCTCATTTTATCGCAAGTTTATTTTATTTTAATTCATATAAATACATTTGTTATCTGCTTTTCTTCTTTCATCTTAAAATCATTTAAAATTGCATTTTTTCAGAGGCATTGACGCAATTTAAGGAGTGATTTTTATCTTAGGATAATTATTCTTCATTTTGAAATGCATCTTTCGCTGCAAGGAGTGCTTCCGGATGAGTACCTTTACGTTTTTTCATCAAAATATCTTTTACTATTTTTTTCTAATTATATTATGTTTCTATACATGTATGGTATAATTGATGTAAAAATATTGATTGGTAATATAAAAATTTTTTTCAACGTCATGATATCATAATAACGATATATTTATCTATACATATATTGAAATATCGTTATTATGATATCATGATGCTAAAAAAATATGTATTTTTTACTACTTAATATCTCNGATGTAAAAATATTGATTTGTAATATAAAAAAATTTTTCAGCGTCATGATATCATAATAACGATATATTTATCTATACATATATTGAAATATCGTTATTATGATATCATGATGCTAAAAAAATATGTATTTTTTACTACTTAATATCTCTGTCTAGTGTGCCATATTTTATTTTTGACTACTAATTCGTGTGACTAGAAACTAGTAATATTTTGAGCTTTACATTTTCTTAAAAAGCTATTTTTAGTGGATTTATTATTTTAACGATAATTTCTTCAATTTGATGTATTAAACAATCACCTGATTTTTGGAAGAAAAAAATATTAATTTTTTTATTATTCCGTACCGTATTGTTATTGATATGCATTTTGTTCATTATTTACAAAAATAATTAAGCTGCTAATTTTGACTTTTTTTGATAAAAGAAAGGTATGTATCTGAGAGCTAATGAGTTTTAAAGTATTTACATATTTGTTAAGTTTTAAAGTCGAATGCCTTATTAGTGATTACATACTAGTGCATTGATTTTACGAAAAATTGAAGCACTAATATGCAATTTGTATTTATTCTGGATTTATTAATAGATACGCTTTTGGAAACTCCTATTAGTGCTTTTTTTCTCGACATATCTTTTTTTGTATTTCGATCATTTTTATTATATCTTTTGAGTATCATTTCATATAACTACAATTCACAATTTCAATTTTATTCATTTTTGGTGATTATTTTGTACATACATGTTCATTTTCACTATAGGTACAATTTTCCTCGAATAGTGATATTGTAATCATTGAAAAAACATAATCGTTCAATAATTTTTACAGCGTTATAGACTAGAGCATTTTGGTTACAGAATGTGTACATTTGGTTTAACGATATGCCTATCCTAAATGTATAGTTATTCATATTTATTTTTACTCACTTAAAATGAACGAGTTAAAATAGCTCAACTTGAGTAAAATTTCACTCATTCGTCTTGAAAAAAGTAGCCTTCTCATCTAGAGTTAAACTCACTCAAGTTAAAGAGTCAAATGAAATAACTCAAGTTAAATGGATAATTTTAAATCGAACTTAAGTGAAATTCAATCGTGCATGATTGACCATAAGTATTACTTGAGTGGATCGTTTTAAGTCAAACTTGAGTGAATTTAAATCGTTTTTGATTGACCATCAGTATCAATTGATTGGATTGCATTAACTCGAATTTGAGTGATTTCCAATCGTTTTTGAAAAACTATTAACATCATTTGAGTGCATGAATTCTCTGAATGTTCTGAATTCGTGAAGCTTCTGGTTTAATAAGTACGAGTTCCAATTCAATAAATCCAATCCGATTTAAATAAAATTCGCTATGTATTTCATATAAATGTATCATAGAGAAAAATAAATTAATTCTATATAAAATGTTTAGAATATATGTAAATATAAATATATACCTATTGTTATTTTAATGTATTGTTTGGATAAGTACTGATGGGATTTGGACAAAATAATGGAAACACTTCTATACTAGCCCATATTTTGATCTTTATCAAAAAACACTTTCAGGATCATTTTATAAATATAGATGTGCTTATGCTACGCGATTTCTCATACTTGTCAATGAAGTTTTTAGAGGTTTGGGGGATTAACAATAAATTACAAATGACAAAATGAACAGTTTTGAACATCCTATGCAAAAATGTAGTAATAAACTTGCAATTTGTAATTAATTTTTATAAATTAAAAAAAAACAATTTTTTTGTCTTACGTTTTTATCTATAACTTTAAAAATATTAAATAAAATAAAACAAAATTTTTAGAGCAATTTAAATTTAATAACAAAATTTTTGCTTTAAAATTCGAAAAAAAAAATTCTTGATTTTCCATGAATCTAAAACCTTGTTCAGTTATTGAAATAAATTTTAAAAAAATAGTCTATGTTGTTTTAATCACAGGTTGCATATGATTTAAACGTAGTTGTAATCCTTCTTCAGTCACAAAATATTTCATTTATAAGTACTACATATAATCAAAATTGTGCAATTAATATTAAAAACCTAGAGAAATGGCGCCTTTACAATTTTGCCCCCTTCACTTTTATAATATATAAATATATATATCTGATATTCAAATTGAACTCAAATTTTCTATGTTGTAGTAGTTACTATTTTTGATACTGCATTCTTTTTTTTTTACTGTTAATCTATAAATATTGTAAAATTATAATTTTTTTTGTATTTTAAAATACTTTAGCATTGTACTTTTAATTAATAATTCTGCATTTTCATTTTTGCTTCAAAAATTGAATTTGAGGAAAAGTGGTAGGAAATTTTATGTCAACAAATGGATGAATCCAGCGAGTGTAAACTTTCATAAATAAAAGCCCGTCAACTTTATTAATAGAAAGCAATATAAATAACAGCATGTTTAGACAAGGGCAAGACATAAAATCCATTATATTAAAATAAAAAGTTAAAATTTTAATATGAGATCTAAAAAAGTTATAAAAAACTTTACAGATCTAATATATCACCACGTACTTTGACAAAGATTCTAGCACGGAATCAGATTTTTTTGATATTCTATAATTATCATCATTTAACTCCTTCAATTTTAATAAATTTCATTTGAAAAATGATTTAAATGACTAGTACTTTATTTACAAACGCTAGAAAATAGCTAATTTAAATGGAAAGTGTATATAACATATTCTAAATAATGGTAATTTAAATAACTATAAGAACTACAGGTATACTTACTTACCAAAAAATAAAACAGCATCTTCTTCAAAAATATCGCTATTAATTAAATGATTCAAAATATTGAGAGACATATTCACTAGAAAAAAAATGTAAAATAGAAGCGAGAGAATATCCTACTTAGATTGTAGAACACAACAATTTTATTGAGATTAATTATCGTTTGCTTTTTAAAATAAAACGAATAAAATTCCAGCTTATAGCTTGCACGCAATTCAATAATAAATAACTTACTCATCAAATCATGTTAGAGCGAAAATACCTCAAGAATCGCTTAAATATCTGTCACTCTAATTCGATTTAACGCTAAGCAAGTATATCACTCAAGCATGGTGTACTTGTGGGTATTCAATTTATCGCCTATGCCAACTTTCATCTACTAAAAGGTAACACACACGATAGCTACAAGTAATGTGTATTATATACTACTTATTTGGTATTTAATATTTATAGTGGTAGTTACGCCACATTACTCTCTTTCTAGAATTTTATTTGTGATAGAATTCGATGAACGGTTACAACTAGTTGATTCATGCTGTTTATTTATTTATATCAATTTTTTGCTCATTATATAATTTTTTTTGTTTATAGCATTTCCGCTCATTATATTTTTTGTTTATTAACCGGAAGTCTTTATTTACTTCACCGGATTTTTTTTTCTTTGTTTTTGCAGTATATTTTTAAGCTAATCAACAGTTTAATGTCAATGTGGATCATTCATCATCACGTCTGGGTCACCAATGTGGGGATTTAATTTTTCGACTATGTCAACTTTCATCTATCAAAAGTTAGCTCATTGGTATTTAATATTTATAGTGGTAGTTACGCCACATATTCAACTTAAGTTGAGAGATAAGAATTTCACTCTTTTTTGAGTAGAAGAATTCACTCATTCATTTTAAGAGAGTATGTATTATTATTATGATATTATGTAAATTAATAGAAGTTTTTATAACAATCTTGTTTATTTTTTGTTTGTTAATAGCTGTCAATGCTTATAATCCCGACCAAAGCTTGACAACTGTATTGGAATCCACTCCGAAATATTTTTTTCCTCAAACCTAAAGATCCTAAACCGGACAATATGTCTGGTGAGTTGTTGTGTCCAGTGAATTAGTAACATTGTTTTTATTTCTACAGATGAGTAATATTTTTTTTTATTTTTACTGTTTGTTAATGCCCTTTGACGGTCAGGGAAATGAGTGTTTTCGCTTCATTAATTCGCGCAGTATTACGAGCAAACAGTAGTCAAAAGTGGCAGCTGTTTTACCCCGCCGTTCTTTCGAAAATGTCACCCTTCTCTGGCGAGGCCAACTGCTCCGCTTTCCGGAATTGGTATAATAAAGTGGTAGCAAATTATGTAGCAAAATTCGCAGAAGGACAGCTACTCCTACTTTTTAATTGAGTAACCAGTAAATTGTTGCTTTAACGTTGCATTTTATATGATACTTATAATTTTTGATATTTAGTGGTGAAAAAAATACTTAAAATGAAAATTACTAAACTAAAAGTAACTT